CCATGGGTGGTGTCCAAATCAGTCGTGTTTTAGCCTTTTGTACTGAACTAGAAGCTATTGAAAACCAATTCCTCCAAATGTCATCAAAGGAGAAACTTTTAAACAGTTCCATAGTTTGTAGCCAATGTAGTTCTAGCCAAAATACAATCCGTAATTTGCTGCTTACTTCTCTCCTTCTCTTGGAAGATTCTGGCATTTCTTTCTTCCCGTAAATTCCAAACAACTACTGCTCTAGCACATCTCCACATCGTTCTTCACCTTTTCTTCGTCCAAGTAATTGTAGATGGATCAAACAGAAATTTAATCTCCAATGGCATATTCCACCTGCACCCAAATAAAGAGAAAATCCACTCCAAATTTTTGCAGTAAAGGAACAGGAAATAAATAACTGAAAACAAGATTCACCATCAAACTTACACAGAGTGCACCAATTCGAGGAAATACTCAAAAAAGGCCTCTTCTTTTGCAAATAGTCCAAAGTGTTAATTTTCCCATATACCACTTCCCAACAGAAAGCCTTGATTTTAGGGGGGATCAGCTGAAACCAAACTTCCTTCCAAGGAAACAACGGAGAAGAAGAGGACTGGCAAAGAGCTTTAAAGAAAGAGGCACAAGAGAAGAAACCTTTAGGATTTGGTAACCAAACTCTCTTGTCTGGTTTAGAGGGTTCTAGGAAAACATTATCCAAACATAAGAGAAGCTCTGTCAAACAGGAGGCTTCTTCATCCCTCAGCCCCCTTCGAAACCCAAAATCCCAATTAAGATTCAAAGGTGAAGTAGAAAGGACTAAAAGGCTTGAAATCACCTTATTTTTGTATAAGGAAATGGAGTACAAGGAAGGAAACAAGTCCTTTAGGGGTCAGTCATCAAGGCAAATATCTTCCCAAAAGCAGATTAGGTTCCCTGAACAAGCATCCTACCTGATAAAATTGAGGAAGCACGTTGTGGATTGTTTTCCAAGGTGTTGTCAAAGTAGCCTGATGTGATACACCAACATCCCAACTACTCTCCAATCTCCCATGAATACTATCCACTACTTCAGCCCACAAATTTTCTTGCTCAAGTGACCACCTCCATACCCATTTTTCTAAAAGAGTTGTGCTTTTCTTTCGCAAATTCCCAAGACCTAATCCACCCTCTTCCTTACTTTTGCACACAATACCCCAATTGATTAAGTGGTCTTATCTCGTCTCTCCTGGCTTCCAAAGGAAATCCCTCATAATTTTTTCTAACTTTTCTTCCCTTGGAGGGATCCTAAAAACAGAGTGGAAATAGATAGGTAAGTTAGCCAAAGTAGATCTTATCAGGTAATCCTCCCTCCTAAAGAGATGTAACTCCTCTTCCAAGCAGCTAGTCTCTTACCACATCTTTCTACAACTGGGTTCCAGAATCTACTTTCCTTAGGGTTGGCTCCTAGGGAAGTCCTAAGTAGGTCAAAGGCTAAGGGGTAATTTGACACTCTAAGCACCTCCGCGACCAAACTTAGGACACTCTCCTCCATATTAATCCTTGCTACACAACTTCTGTCCAAATTGATTTTCAGGTTGGACACCTTTTCGAACCATTGAATTGGTTCTTTTAGTTTCCTCACACTCCAAGGGTCTCCCCCTTCACAAAAAGTTATGATATCGTCTGCAAATTGGAGGTGAGTAACTGGGACCTTGTTTCTGCCCACTCTCCAACCCTTAACTTCATCTTCCCTATCTACCTTAGAGAGGAGTCTACTGAAAACATCCACCACTAAAGTAAAAAGAAAAGGAGAGAGAGGGTCTCCTTGCCTTAAACCTCTATAGGCTGGAAATAAATCTTTCACCACTCACTCCATTAAGAAGGATGGAAAAATGACAAGACTGAACACATCCAAATACCCAATTGCACCACGTCTCCCCAAACCCCCGTTGTTGCATTACTTCTAGTAAGAAGTTCCAGTCCACCAAGTCATAAGCCTTTTCTAAATCCAATTTGCATACAAATCCTTCCTTCCTAGATCTCTTCATTTCTTCTATACATTCATTGGCTATCAGGATTTGATCCAAAATTTGTCTCCCTTGAACAAAGGCTCCTTGGAATTGACTTATGAGAGAGTGGAGTATTTCTTTAATCCTCAAAGATAGGACTTTGGCAATTATTTTATAGGTACTAGTCACCAAACTAATGGGTCAGAAATCCTTAGGTTGACTAGCCTAAGGTTTTTTGGGAATAAAAGCCAAGAAGGTTGCATTGACTCCACGGCTAACAATATGTGTATTTGAGAATTCCTTGAATACTTCAAGCAAATCATCTTTCAAAACTTCCCAACAATCTTGATAGAAAGCCATTGTGAAGCCGTTTGAACCCGGTGCTTTAGATTTGTTCGTGAAAAACACTGCCTTTTTTATTTCCCCCTCCTCAAAGTCCCTTTCCAACCATCTTGCTGCCTCCTCTTCTAGTAGGGGTCACTCTAGTCCTTCTAAACTCAATCTCTCCTCCAAAGGTCTTCTATAAAGGGATTTAAAATGGTCCACAAAGTTTCTGGTTATTTCATCCTGATTAGATATCATTTCCCCATTAATTTCCAATCTAGCCACAAAGTTCTTATGCCTTCTACCATCGACCATCGCATGGAAGAATTTTGTATTTCCATTCCCCTCTTTTATCCACTTATGTCTTGACTTTTGTCTCCAACAAATTTCCTCTCTACTAAGAACTTCCTCCAAATCTTTCTTCAATTTCCATCTTGATTCCCTTTCTTCCTCATTAAGAACTCTCTCATTCTCCAACTTGTCCAATTCCTCAATCTGAGATGTGAGAGTAAGCTTCCTTTCTTCAAATCTTCCAAAATGGTCCCTATTCCACTCCTTTATCTTTGCCCTCAACCTTTGCAACTTCTTATGGAATTTGATTCCCTCCCACCTTAGCCCCCTTAGGTCCTCCTTCCACCACTCCTCAACTCTGCGAACAAAATTTGGATGTGTCAACCACATATTTTCAAATCTAAATGGAGTGTGATCATTTAGAAAAATTTCTGATCCTATTCTAATGGGGTGGTGATCTGAAGTGACTTTAGGCAACGCTGTAGACACCAAATCTTCCCAATGGTTCTCCCAACCCACATTAAACAAAAACCTGTCCATCTTTGAACATAGTGGATTTTCTTGAAAGTCGGACCAAGTAAAGCTGGTATGCATAAGAGGGATCTCCTTCAGCTCTCACCTGTCTATAAACTCATTAAATCTTTTCATACTGGTGGTTATTGACTGATTGGGGTTAGAAGTTTCATTAGAGAACCTTATGACATTGAAATCCTCTCCCATACACCGAGCACCCTCCCACAAACCCCATATTGCATACAATTCCTCCCAAAACTCATTTCTTTCCTTGTGCCTATTTGGTCCATAAACATTAGTTAATACCCAGGAAAACCCATCATTCACATTCTTAAACTTTACTGATACAGTGTATTTGCCAATCAGCTCCTCCATTGATTCCAGTACCTCATCTTTCCATAGAATCACCATTACCCCCTGAAGACCTCCAGGAATGAGCCTCAATCCATCCTATGCCTCTTGATCCCCACTTTGTTCTACATGGATGCTTCATTTGGTGGAGGGATGGCAATTTGGGCAGAGAAGTTCGGAAGTGTTGCGAAAATCTTATACATGCTTTGTGTGTGTGCATGTGTGGGTAGGGTATTTCAAAAACTGAATTAGCTGAGGCTTTATGTAATTAACTGATATCTGCGGTCACTTTTCTTTTTAGTTGTTCATTTCACCAAATTGATACAGAAAATATGAGCATATTCCCTTTGGGTTGGTATTATGTAACTTTTTTTTTGGATAAATGATTGAGAGATTTTATTAATCAGAAACTGTTAAGAGTTACAAGCAACCCAAGGAGAGGCACAAGGTGCAACCCCTCCTAGGAGATAACATACATCTTTCAAACTCAACTAAAACAAGTCACAAAGTAGCCCAAAAAGGACAATCCCGAGAAGCCCCTTGTTTAGCTAAAGCTACAGCATTTTCCAATCTGCTCATCCACTGAACAGTAACTCTCTAGCCATTTCACTTTCTTGAATAGATCTCTATAACCCCAAATGGCAGAATCCAGGTTTAAGAGCCACCCCACCACCACCTGAGAAAGTGCTCCACCCCAAGCTGGCTCGCAATCTGGATTCCTTGAACAGAAGCTAGTACTTCTGCCCTTGTAGAGTCACCCACTCCTACAGGTCCTGGCTCGCCTTCAATTATGTAACTTATTTATATGCTTGTTTGCTTGCATGCAATTTTTTCTCTGCTGTGCTTTTTCTTGAAGTCTTTTGTTATCTTTACCTTTTTGTTCAGGCATTCTTAAAATTTATTTTGTTCATTTTTATTTTCTAATAAAGAATCTTGATTTTATTTTATTGCATAACTTGAACTCTTGAACTTTGATTACTTAAAAGTATTTCTTTTTCAATTCCTTTTTTTGGGGGTGGGTGCATAGTTTAGTAAATTTTTTTTTTGAAAATTAATAGATATATTTTAATTGTTGTTGATAGGAATCAGGAAATGCCTAGTAATTGCATTGGCAGAAACTTGGTTGATAGGCCTCTTCCTGGTTGTCAGCCAAGATGCCTTTGACTATTCTAGGATTTATACTTTGATCTTGGAAATTTCTTTGCAACCACATTCAATAAACTCCAATGTTAACAATAAAAAAAAATGCTTTCACAACCACTAAATTTCTTCTTCCTTTGTGGGAAGTAGGAACTATTTAGGGGTTGCTTTCCTACTAACTTTTCAATTTTACTTGTCAGTCTAACTTTACCATATATATAAATAAACTTATGCTGGTTATGTGTTATTTCAATTTACTTTGCAATTGCAAAAAAAAAAAAATAAAATAAAATTACTTTGCAATTATGGTCAATGCTGATTTTAATGCACAATTACTTGGCCTGTACTTTTATGAATATACTTGGTTTTGTCAACATAATATCATAGTTATAAGCTTATAACTGACTTCCCTCATGTTTGCAGCATTGGGAATTTCTTCTTTGCAGGGGCACGCATATTCTTCCAGTCTTTAGATGCTGCAATATTTTTGTTTTCTCGTGTTTCTGGCATTCCCACTGAAAGTCTTGTTCTACCCGTGATTTCCACCAATGACAGGCTTACATTAGGATGTGAGTTATGGGTATGATTATTGATATCTGTCTTCGTGTTTTTGTTTAATTCTTTGCATTCACTGCTAAATGTTATTGTACCATAATGTTTTCCTATTGAAAATTGTTGTTTACTGTTTAAAGTTTCAAACTTGGGGTAAGATGGATTGAGAATGAGTTACATGTTCAAATTCTTTGGGCGATTGTTGATTTCTTTGCTCTTAGTTCATCTTTTTGTTTGCATTTTTAAAGCAGAAGTGCCAAGTAGAAGTAATATGCATTATGTTTAGTTATTATTGGATTGCTGCCTTTAACTTGGAGTCTTGGAAAATGTTTGAAGGGCTCCCCTTTTGTTATATAGCATTGATATTGGATGATATTGGCTGATCCCATGCAATTCAATACCCTTGGTATTTATGCTAGTACTTAGCCTATACCACGCAAATTATATAATATTTTTTTTGATCAATAACAAACTTCATTAAATTCATCAAAACTTTCAATGATAATTACAAAGAGGAAGACAAAGTTTCTTATCTTCCAGTATAACTTGAGCCCCAAGAGAAGGAAAAGAAAAAGAGAAAGAGGAGAAACAGGAAAGATAATTACAATTATGCCCAGAACATTGACTCCCTCTCCACTCCTTGTTTAGCTAACCCATCAGCAAAAGAATTAGTTGATCTTTTTACCCAACTGATTTTAACCTCCATTTCTCGAGCCAGCCATCTAAATTTCCTCCTCATATTGCTGTAATTCCATACTCCACTGTAGTCTTTATTCAGCCATCCAACCACCACCTCCGAGTCCCCTTCAATTACAAGTTTTCTGATATTCATCTCCCTGGCTTTTTGGATTCCTTCCATAACCGCATGGATCTCAGCTCTGAGAGAGTCACCCACTCCAACTGGGCCTGAGAACATGGCAGAAACAACCCCATTCTCATCCCTGAAAACACCCCCAACCCCTGATTTTCCAGGATTCCCTCTGCAACTCTCATCAAAGTTTAGTTTTATGAAACCCGCAGGGGGGGGGGGGAGTCCAAGACACATTCATCACTGTTTTGGTCTGGGTACTGTTAGCAATCTTGCCCCAATTCCTCAACATGTCATCCACTGTATAATCTGTGAATAGCTCTAGTGATTTCATCCACTGTACTACCCTTATAAGGATCAAAGCCCTCAATTCATCAATACTTCTCTCTACTTCTGAGAAAATCCTGGCATTTCTTTCTTCCCATAAGGACCAGCAAACCGTAGCCCTCAGTCCTCTCCACATAATCTTGCCCCTTTTCATGTGCCACCTGAAAAAAGGAGAAAACAAATTTTGCAAATTTGATGGAGGGTTCCAGCTACACCCAAATAGGGAGAGAGCCCACTCCCAAATAGACTTTGCATATTGGCAAGACACCAGTAGGTGAAAACCCGTCTCCCCATCAGCTTTACAAAGAACACATCAGTGAGGGGACAAACAAGTATTGGGTCTCTTCTTTTGGAGCAGATCACTAGTGTTGAATCTTTCCAGAAAGGCTTCCCAACAAAAACTACCAACCCTAGGAGGGATTGGTCTGCACCAAACCTCATGAACAGGAAAAGGGAGGGCTATAGGATTGGTGGACTGGCTTAAAACTTTGAAGAAAGAGGCACAAGAGAAAGAACCGGTGGGGGGTGGGAGTCCAAATTCTAGAGTCCACCTTAGCAAGGTGTAAGAAAATATTGTCAAGAAGCTGAAGGAGACTCGAAATGCTGTCAAGGTCTGAGTCTCTCACAGAGCCGAGATCCATACTAACCATCTGATAATTAGTTATTTTCCTTTAGATTGCTGTCCTTCAATTTTTGTCTAATCAGAGAGGACCAAATTCTTGTAGCACTACATTAGGAAAACTGTCTGTAATCTTTTAATTCTTAATCATATGACAATCTTTGAATGAAATGCTTAAGCAGGTGATTTTAATAATCTGATAACTTTATATTATTGTCTTAGATCCTTTCCCTTTATTTTTGACTGTGCAGAAAGGACCAAGTTCCTAATTGTTGTATTTCAATATGTGTCTTATATAGAAATCATAGGGACCAACAATTAAGTGCATCCAACTTGATAAACTATCTAGTCATAAATTCAGCATTAAATCATGTCTTTTAACTCTCTGATCCATAAATTATTATAGTGGAAATTTAATAGAATATTTCTGTTGTTCATGCAGTGAGAATGGGCCGAATGGACCCTAGTGTTCTTTATTTCTTTTAAGTAGTGTTTAAAAGTTATGTTTCTAGTCATGGGCCTTCTTTTATTTTCTTAAATTATCTCTTTAATGCTGGCCGCCCCATTAAGGGGATCCAAGTAATTGTAGTCAAACTTTAGAATTATTAATAAAAGTAATGAAAGGGGGCTAGAGAGAGAGGTTCGAATTCTTCTTTTCTCTCTTCCCTTCTTTTCTTCTTCCACAACCTATTGCTGAAACTTATTTTCTTCTTCTTTCTCTTTCTCTTTTTTCTCCTTTTCTTGCATTATCTGAATTACATTTTCAACTGTTCATGAATGAGATCATTTGATAAATCTGAAAATTCAGATCTGAAAAGTTAAAAAGATATTAAAGGTGTCTGAAATCTGAAAAGAGGCATAGATGCTTTTCTACTTTTTAGAGGCTCTAAATCCATAAGTTTGTTTGTGTTGGATTAACCCTTTACCATCTGAAATTTACTGATTTTACTATTTTACCCCTAGAACATACTATTTGTAAATATTGAGTTCAATTTGCATTATCTCATAAAAAATAATTTTCAACCTCAAAGTAACATTGAAACAATACAAATAAAAAATAAAAAATTAATAATTAATAATTACTAATTAATAAATGAAATGATTAAAAATTTAAAAAAATAATGACTATAAAAATATTAAAATAATTAATAATTAATAATTTACACAAATAAAAATAAATAATTTTTAAAACTTAAGGAAATAAGTAAAAATTCCTATTTAGTAAAAATAATTAATAATTAGTAATGTTTAATAAAAATAATTATTAAATATTAATAATTAATAATTAATAAAAAATAAAAAATAATTAATGTTTAATAAAAATATTAAAATAAAAAATAATTTATAAATAATAATAATATTATTATTTTTACTCACCGAACCGTCGCTGCAACTTGCAGCATCTGCAGCATGATTGTATTCCCTAGGAATCCAAACTAAGTTAACATTCAATCCATCCAAAGAATCCCAAGCTTCAGTCAGATAGTGATAAAGTCTCCAAGGGCCCCCTTTTTTGTCTCTTAACCATTTTATTGTATTTGCTGAATCACCTGCAATGATCA